AAAAAAAAAAAAAAAAACAAACCTTGTAATCTGGACAAGTACCTCAACTTTTCTGAGCCTCAGTTTCTAAAGCTGTAAGAGAATACTTACCTCATATGGCAGATGTGGAAAGATTAAGTAAGACTTAGGCAGAGCAGTTAGTTAGCTGGTGCTCAACAAACATGAATTCTCTCAGCCCCAACAATAACACAAGTCTCTGGCTGTCTCAGCTGTGTTAAAGGGACAGTGAAGGTCCAGAGCTGAGTCACCTTTGCTCCCTCCTACACGAGCCCCTCTGGGGATGCCGGGCGCTGTTTGTTTATGGAGTTCTGGCTTTGCTTGTTTTTTCTGGAACCACCTCTTCAAGAAGGGGGGAGCCAAGATCTGCTCACTGGAGTACAGGTGCATACGTGTCTGTAGTTGCTAACAGAAACTGCACCAAGCTGACCCTACTTCCTCCCTCTGCCTCTTACACAACATTTCTCACAGGCTCCTCCATGTCAAAGGGCCTAAAAAGGGGCCCTTTTCTTGCCTAGATTCTCCCATTATCAAGGTAAGCACAAGCAGCTTCCAGTTCCTCTGCTCTTCTGGCACACAAGTCGAGGCAGACTCTGGACCCCTTGACCTTACTCCAAGCAAGCTGGCCTACTTCTAAGCACCCTGGGGCACCTTGGTACAAGGCCAGTGGGACTCACCCAGAGAAGGGCCAGCCTGTTCCTGTCCTTAGGCCCTGCTCAGGGCAGATTCTGTCTCTGCAGCTCAACATGAGCTTAACATGGGCCAGGTCAGCCTGGTCAAACAGTAAGCCCCAAGGCTCTGTGAAGGTCCCTGGGCAGGGGCACCCGGGATTGCGTGTGGCGTGGGCGGCTGGCTGAGGCATACGTCAGGAAGGGATCAGGGCTGAGATGAGCAACGGTGCCCCTGGATACCTGGTGGCAGGAACTGAGACAGAGATGAGGTTTTGCAGGGAAAGGCAGGGATGACAATGTTGTAATACTCCCCGGAAGGTGAAACCTGAAAGGAATTGGAGTTGGGTGTGGCCTCGCGGGGGCAGCCGGCTATGCTGACCCCTCCTGCTTCTTTGAGTCCCCACTCTGGGGCTCCCCGTGGTTGTCTGATTGTCTCCTGATGATAACCAAAAGCACTTTGAGAGCCAGACCTGTGTGTTACAGGCCTGCCTGTACCCATCTGCCCTTCCCTGCCCAGGGCAGGGCACGGAGGAGGCTGCAACCGACACCAGCTGCCTGGGAGATGGAAGGGTAGGGAGAAGACTCAGCACAGGGCCCAGGGAGAGGGCCAGGGAGGATGGGCCGGAGGGGCAGCAGGAGCAGTGGAAGGATGGGGTGGGGGGCTGAGAGGGCATAGGCAGAGGGACCCAGGAGAGGGGCTTTGTGGAGGGGTAGACCAGCCAAGGGGACAAGGACCAGGAACCAGATGGGATGGGGGGCAGGCTGCAATTAAGCAATTTCTGAGCTCACTGTGGGGGCTCTGCCCAGGGATGGGGGGGCCAGGGAGCTGAACGGCCTCAGGAAATGTCTCAGAGAGAGTGTCAAGGCCTCTGGTTAGGACAGGGTGGGTAGGAACCAGGATGAGGAAGGAAAAAGGGCAGGCCTGGGCCCAACCACCTCATCTTGATTTGTCCACTGAGCTTGGGCTCCTGTGGGGCCCTCATGTGGGCTTTTCTTTCACCTTGCCTGGATCCCCACCCCACTCTCACGTCACCCAAAGGGGCCTTTAAGGGTTGATGGGAACTCTTCCTCAGTGACTTGTCCTGAAAGCTGGAATCCACCCCTTGGTCCAGCCCTTGCTGGAGGAAGTCTCTGGCCAATTTCACTTCCTTCCAGTTCTCTAGTTGCTTCTTCCTGTATTTTCCGGGTACTCTGTGTAAACCTGGCTATAGCACTGTTCTCACAGACTTAAATAGTCTTCCCTGGTGCCTGGCATGGTGCTGGGAAGAGGATGGGCATTAAATAAACTGTTTTTTGAATGAACATTGATCCCCCCTCAATGTTCTGAGCCTCTCTACTATTGAGTTTCTTAGATCTTGTTTCTCTTCTACCTCCAATCAAAACTCACTGTCCACGTTTCATTCCCTCAGAGCTCTGTACTCTTGCTTATGTTTCCAAGCTTGTTGGAGATAAGCAGGGTGGTGTTCTGGAGAGAACACTGTACCCTCTGTTTTCTGGGGATACCAGGACTGAGGTCTAACTCCACACAGTGTGGACCCTTGGGGCCTCAGTTCACTCACTTCCTCCCATCAGTGGAAGGTCTAGATGACTTCTAAGGTCTTCCAGGGCTGAAGTGGAAGTCCTTTGTGGGCCAGGACCTGGTTTGTCTTATGCTCTGTGCCCCCAGAGCCAAGAATGGTGACTAGTGCAGAGCACGCTCTTAAATATTTGTTATGAGAAGGAACTGACAACTTCGATGGCTACCTAGTGCCTGGCGTTTTATACATGTTATTTCATTTCATTCCCAGAGTGATGGAGTTAAAATTTGTATATACATTTGCATGACTCTGAAGCCCATACTCTTCCCATAATACTTTGCGGCCTTTAGGAGACGATGCCATTGCACAAGGATTTGTTCTAATGATGGCTGTGAAAGGCTGCAGGAAATCTGGAGACCCTTATTCTTATCATAGCATATAGGCAATGCCTCTGCCCCTCGCAGACCTTAGGAGATAATAGGAACTTAGGGTGGTAAGTGGAAGAGGGTGAGAGGGTGGTGAGGCTATCTGATCACTGTCATCTAAATGGGGTGCTTGCGGGGTGTCTGGATGGCTGTCAGTTGAGCAACCGACTTCGGCACGGGTTGTGATCTCGTAGTTGGGGGGTTCAAGCCCCACATCAGGCTCACTGCTGTCAGCGTGGAGCCTGCTTTGGAGCCTCTGCCCGCCCCCACCCCCTGCATCTCCCCCACTCACACTTTCTCTCAAAAATAAATAAGCATTGAAAAAAATAATAGATGGGTGTTTGGTTAGTTCCAGTCACCTGCTAAGCCAGCTCTCTCTAAAAAACAAAACAAAACAAAACAAAACAAAACAAAACAAAAAGCCCTAATTAGTAGCTTTTGTTGGTTTCTACGGCATATACACTCTCACTGTGGCTAAATTCAAGCAACAAATATGAAGTCACCACTGACTGCAGAGCTGGAAGAGAAGCACATAGTCAGCTCTTTTGCAAGCCAGTGAGCTGCCCTTCGCACACAACTGGAACAGTAAGCAGCGCTGTCCCCAGAAAGCTACAGGAAGGTCATGGCTTCTGCACATGCTATGGGCAGCTTTGGGAAATGTCAGCTCTCACTTTGCCTTTTTCAAAGATTAGAAAGACTAGACTGACAGCAGCTGTCCCATTACGTGGATGGCCCTCTAGGCTGCTGCCAGGAAGGCTCCCTCAGAACGGTCCTGGGCTCCCCTTTGGAACACACCCCCTGTTGCCTTGCCTCAGGCTGGGACAGCCCCTGGAGCAGGCAAGGCTATTCCTTGCAGTCAATTCTTCAGGGAGCACTTCAGGTGGAACCATCCTGCAAGGAAGGATGGGTGTGTCGGTGCCATCGGCCTCTGCCTCTCACTTGGATTCGGCCAGTACTTTCCTCCCAAATTCCAGGAAATCATAAATACCAAGGAATCTGCCCTTGCTGTGCCAAAAGCAGGCCCAGCTGGAAGGCAGCAGGCATCCCTAAAGAGATGGTGGAATGAGGGGGTGGAAAAGTACTGAGAGATAGGGGTGTGCCAGCTTCTGGTTGGGGAGGGACCCTGCTCCCCAGCTGAGGTGTGGAAATGGGCCTCGCAGCTGAAGAGCAGGTGCCCTTGAGCTGGGCGGCTCTAGAGGGAAGAGTAGTAGGAACAGATGTGGAGGAAAGGGGCCTTGTCCTAGCAAGCTCCTTGAGGACCTAAACAGCTTGCAGGTATGTCTTGGAGTCTTTCTCTCAAGTACTTAACACTGGCTAAGCACAGACAGAACCAGCAGTCAAAAATTTGTTGAAAGAGAAATGAGACTTTTATTAGCCTGCAGGATGTTTTTCAATACTAAGGCAAAAAGTAAAATGTAGGGGCAAGTAAAATTAAGGCATAAAGAAGTATCTAAGGGCCCCGAGGGCTCACCCAGGACATACAGTGGAGGTCTTCTCTTCATATCAAGGGTATGAGGTAAGCAGTAGAGGCTGACTTGTTTCACGGAGTCAGGCCCTACCATATAGCCCAAGGGAGAACAGTTGTGAGGTCAGGCCAGGAGGGTTAGAATTTGCTAGTGTAGAGGGTCATAATCCACTTGGGCATACGGAGGAAGCCAGGCAAGTAGGAGGCCAGCCAGCCCATGGTGGAGACATGAGAGAGAACTGAGCTCAAAGACAAATAGTCTCGGACGGGGCGGCCTGTGGACCACAGGAAGAAGAGAAGGGTTACACTGTCATTCCCACTCCTCAGACACCTCCGCCTAGGCTAAAGAGCCTGAGTGGGATGTGAGGGAGGAATGGGGAGAAAGTGTGGGAGAAGGTGAAGTGAGCAGGGAACGGAGGAAGGGAGGTCCAGGCTGGCTGCTGGGCCAGAGCTCTTACCATCCACATCCCGAAGGCCATAGCGTCGAGCAAGGTCACAAGATGGCAGCACCTTCCCACTCAGGCTCAGGATATTGGGGTCTGTGGGCACAAATACAGCTGAGAAGGCATGGCAGTGATGCAGTGTGACAAGGTTTGGGCCCAGTGGGACAGGGCACCACTGAAACAGGCTTCGGTGCCCAGAATTCTTTCTTTCTATTCCTAGGCCTCTGACTCCTGGCTATACTTCCTGCGGCTCCCAAACCTCAAAGTGGGCCCACATAGGGTCTCCAGAAGCCGGAGAAAAGAAGGGCATATTCCTCAACCATCTCCTGAGCCAGGACCCAGAACTGGCTACCACCACCCTGCAGATTCTCCATGCCCTTTCTTGTTACCACCTGCCCCCAACTGCTTTACCTGTTGCCAAAGCCACCACACATTTGCCACTCATTTCTGTGGTCTCTGCAGAGCTGAAATCAGATCTGAACTGAAACACAGGGGCAGAGAAGTGAAGGGTTAATTTCCAAGAGAACTGCCCAAATTTCTTTCCCACTTTTAGCTTCTATTCCAAGAGAGACAGGCCCTCATCACTGCACCTGCAGGACCCAGAATCTTAGAAGATGCTTGAGCCACTCTTCCCTACCTCCAGGTACATCCTGTACCCTGGCACCAGGACCCACTGCCTTTCCTAAGTGGAAAGATCTTGGGATGTCAACTATGTCTGGACCTTCTAGGTTAGTTCAGGGCAGGGGTCAACAGCATGGGCTTCGGGGAAGGAAGCTTTTCCATTTATGGCATACATGACCTTGAGCAAGTTTCTAACCTTTCCAGGTTTCAGAATTGCCATCTGCAAAATGGAGATAATATCTCCTTTGCTGGATGAAAGGACATAATGTATGTATGCTGCTTGGCCCTGCTCCTGCCACAGTAGGCACCTGGGTATTTCCTCTTTGTTACTGTCTTGTCATTGAGGATGGAGAAGCTGATTCCTTTGCGTTCCCTGCCTCCCTCGCCCTCCCCCTGCCAACCTGCTTCAACAGGGGATCATCAGCGTTGTTGTTTTTCATCACAACCTCCTTCAGTAGTTCTGTCTGCACCAACCCTGGCCACAGAGACACATAGCTGACCCCGTGGCACCGCAGCTCCTGGGCACAGTCAGCAGCCAGCCTGTCGCACTGTAGAAGGACAGAAGGCAGGGGAGAGCCAGGGCGCCCGGCCACATCACCTTCCTCCCCTGCCTTCCTTGCTTCTGCTGAGGATGCCCCAGCCCTTCTCAGGAGCCCTGTCTCAGCTGTCCACCTTCCCCAGTGTGCTGCCTACCCTGGCCACCCAAGGGGAGCCCAGGCAAGGAACTGTTTATGAAGGCGCAGAGGGAGAGGTGGGAGCCAGTGGGCCTTACTACTCCGATCATTGGGGATCGGATCTCCTGAGCTATGGGTACCATCACTGTCTAATGCCTCCCTAACCCCTGTGCTCCTGGGTCCTCACCGCAGCTTTGCCAACACCATAGGGGACATTGAAGAGATACTGCAGCCCCCCAATGGAGGAGATGACCACGATGAGTCCCCGGCCAGCTGGTACCATGAGCCGTGCTCCATACACTGAGCACAAGTAGTGACCTCTAGAAGGTGAGGCAAGGAAGGAGAAGGAATACATGACGTTCACTGCTGGCCTGGCTGCTGTAGCCCTGGCAGCTTCCTCTGCCCTCTAGGGCTAGAGGCCACTTCCTGAGAGCAACAGTGGTAAAAGGAACCACCAATGGATGCGTGTAAAGGAAAAACTCAGTTTTCCATTCTCCTATGTAGGGAAAACCCAGCACACATATATTCGATAACCAGAAAAACATTTCATTTGCATGGGAAACAGGATCCTCCGAGTGAAAACAGGTAGAGAGAATTATAGTTTCAAAAGGAAAGCCCAATCTAAGGTAATGCAAAGGAAAGGCACAGTAAATGTGTACGTGAGTGGGGGAGGAGGTGAGGACATGTTGGCGGGCTTCCCAGAGGCTCACAAAATGGCCTTTATCTTGGAAAATTCATCATGGCTCAGGGACCAAGGCCTGGGCCTCTGCCCAGGCTCAAAACTCTGACCCGCAAGAGATGAGGGAGTGGAAGGCCTCTCTTTGGAAGGCTAAGCATGTGGGCCATAATTGCCAATTATCAGCATTTTAGGTTTTCTTTTCTTGCCTCTTGGCTGACCATCCCTCTCTGTCCTCATAATCTTTCTTCTGCCTTGGAAATCACAACTGGATTCTAATCCTGCTTCCTTGGTATTTCCACAAGAAGCTGTGGGTGTTCTTAAAATGCTTTAGGCACAGATTTTCAGATAATCTCTTAGTTACTCCCACAGGTGGCTGATCACACCCCCATGGAATGCAGTTTCTGAGAGGGCACTACCGTTCCAACAATAAAAAAGAGACACAAGTGGTGTGTCATGCTAGGTGAACTCTTCGTGCTGTGTTTCATCTCACTCCCATGCAGATGTATGTGTAACTCTGATGTTGGAGTGCCCTTGCCTGTGGATCTGGAGTGAGGATGTGGAGGCTAACATGGCTGGCACTCACACTCACTGACCTTCTCTTGATCTAAGACAAAAGAATTTTTTTTTGTTAATATCAACTACAGGTGGTGTGCATTATTCAAAGAGGGAGGCTTCCTTCTGATCACGCACTTGGATGTGCAGAGTGAGGCCGGAGAGAGGCCAAGAGCAAGTGCAGTTGTGTCAGTTCTGACAGAAACAAGGTAAAAGTCAATGTTCCCAGGTACAGATCCACCTGGATGGAAATTTTCCAGAGGTGTGAGACAAACGGGACAAAAAGGAGAAGAAAGAGATGGGGAGGTCAGAGAACAAGCATATGAGGAACGGTCCAGGCCCTCAGCTGAGTGAATGAGGGGAACCCAGACCCTGGGACAAAGGGAACACTTACCTGAGTCCAACATTGTTGATATCATCCCAGATGGAGGCAGGGCTTTCCCAGAATGCCTTCTTAGTGTTCTTTATAATTGCCTGGAAGGCAAAGGGAGTGTTGTAAATTGGATGATCTAAAGGCAGGCAGGTATGAGGGGCTGGATAATGAAAGGGACATGAGTGGGGATAAGGACTCAGGACTCAGGGGTCAGAGGGGGAGGTTAGGGATGTGGAGCTGGAATCAAAGTGTAAAGGGTACCAGGACCCCAGCGTAGGCGTTGTTGACCAGCACATCCAGACGCCCCTGCTGTTCCCGATCCACTTGCTCAAACAGGCTTTGCACTTCACTCTCCTGGCTTGAATCACATACCACAGGCACACACTGGCCCCCTCGAGACTGTGCCTGGAGAGACAGAGGGGATATGAGCTTATAGTTGCACATGAGTGTGAGACATAAGGCAACCCTCTTCAAGTCCCAGCTTGGGAGGAGCTGAGAAGGGGAGGGGGCACTGAGAAGGCAAAAGTAGGAATCAAAGCCAGCAGCTGAGGGAATATGGTGAGCCATACCGCCCTCTGGTGTCTATTTGAGGAGTTTCAGGAATGCTAGGTCCTTTCTCTATAGAGGGAAACAGATTGGGATCTCAAGCTTAAAATCTACATTTACAGAGGCCTACCAGGTGCAAGTAGTTGTATACTCTTAGTGGAAGGCAAGGGACAAATAGGGAAGGGGGGATGCTCCTGGGAAAGGAATATCTCTCTTCTTCCTCATCCTTGGTCATTTCCAACGTTCACACCATAAGCTCCCACTCTTCACCGCTCACGTGTAACCTCGCCTCTGTCCTGGCCCTCTTACCCTCACATCACCAATGCTCCTGCCTAGTTACTGAAAAATCAAAAACTCTCAGGCATGAACTATTTCTACTTTCCGTTCTACCTCACCCTTCACAAATGAGTCCCCATCCTCTAACTTCAAAGGAAGAAGAAATACCTTATTCAGGACCAATCCTCCTATTCTCCAGATCCATGCTCTAGTTCCCACCCTCTTACCTTCTTGCCTCCTAACTGCTCCCCTGTGCTCCCAGAGCATTCTGTGTCTGCCTCTGATTTCCTGCTGGGTCCTATCTTTCCAAAGCAGAAGTGACATCTTATTTATCTTGGTAACCCCAGTGCTTCACCCAGTGCCTAGCAAACCAAATATATTTTTTCAAACTGAAATCCAGTAAAAAAAAAAAAAAAAAAAAAGTCAACTGAAAGTGTACAGCTCAATAAAGTCTTCCCTAAAATAAAGGAAAGCACAGGTCCACAACCCTTCAGCTGCAATTCCAAAATCCCTGAAGGTTTCAAAGAGAAGGTTTTTTTTCCATAAAACTCACTTATTGGCAAAATTTGACCTGATCTGAAGTCATTTATGGGCTTCATTTATTCCAGTCTGAATAAATATTCACATTTCGTGGAGGAATATAATGGTTTCAGGTAAGGGATTAGTGGAAGGAGTGGTTAATGGGAAGGGCTACCTCAGGTGGTGTGTGTCCCACTTGTTCCAGAGGAAGCACCCACCTCCTCAGCAGTGGCCCGCAGCGTGTCCATATGGCGGCCAGTGATGTAAACTGTGGCACCTGCCTGGCAGAGTTGCAAGGCGATGCCGCGGCCAATACCTCTGGAAGCACCGGTCACCACGCACACTTGGCCCTTCATGGGAGCTGCCATGACTCACATGCAAAGCGGGTAAAATCTGTGGAAGCAAAGACTTGCTCTGAGGGAAGCCTGCATCTTGTGTATGTGTGGAAGGGGGACCCGGATAGCGGGAGGGAGGAGGAGCCAAGGTTGGGATCCTCTGAGAAGAGAGAAGTTTCAGAGCAGGACAACGGTGCAAACCCCAGGGCAAGGCTGTTCGTCCTTTTTGGCAGGCCAAGAAGTAAATAAGGGGGCTCGGTAGGACTGTCCAGGGCTACCCACCTATAAGGACTCTCTGAAAGGGGTTGACCGGGTGGGGGGCGCTCAGCGCGGCAGCCCCTCAACGGCGGGTCCACGCAGCGTCCTGGGCTATCCAGAGCTCTGGCCTCTGGCGTGGCCCAGTCGGGCTGAGCCCGGAGGGGCGGCTTCCGGGTCGGGGGTGAGAGCGGGGACCGGGCACGCAGGAGGGAGCTCGCGCCCTTTACCTGCCCTCCTGCAGTCCCGGCGCCGTCTAGCCGGCGAAGTCCTTGGACTCTAGGACTTCGATTCTGGCTGCGGGGGCGGGACCGGGTGACTGCAACTGGATCAGAGTGTGAGGCTGGGGTGCCAGCCCGCGTTCCCGTTCGGGATCAGCGGAGGGCTTGGAGGAGAGGGTCAGAGAGCACGGGAGGCGGTGCTGGGGCCAGGACTGGCGACTGGAGGCGGGGCGACCTGGGGACACACACAGTCACCCGGCTAGGGTCTGTCGCCAATACCGTGACGTATATGCTGCGCGCCGAGCACGCCGGCCTTCCTAAACTCCGTCCGGACCCGGCATGCTCCTACGTGCGTGACGTTCCTCTGCGACTGGAGACGCTTTCGCGGACGGACACGGCCTTGAGCACTCATGGGACCGGGTCCGCGCTCCCTCCACAAGGCTGGCCGCCGGTTTCCAGCTGGTGACAAACGGGGGCGCGGGGCCAAGGGATCGGGGCGCCCCCCACCAGGCCGCCAGCGGCCTCCGGACGGGAGCTCGGAGCCAGCCCCAGACGCGCACCCTCACCTGAGCCCCGAAGCTCTGGGGTATTTCCGCCAGGCGCTGTCAGCCCTGAAAGAGGCTCCTGAGACCGGAGAAGAGCGAGGTGGGGAGACTTCAGGGTGAGACTAAGAGAGGGATTCGCTGGACATAAGTTCTGGGATAGGCAGGAGAATTTTCATGGGTCCCCAGGGCATAGGGACTTAGTCTATGTCTCCCATATCCTCTTCATTGCTCCCCTCTCCCTCCTTTAGTTAACTAATGGAACATAACCATCCTCCTCTTAGTCTCTAAAATATTTCTTTTCTTGTCTGTTCAGAACTGATGGTGCACAATGTTTTGAAGGAAGTGGAAGCTGAGGCCCTAGCCTTGGCCACAAACAGGACTGGCAGTGAGATTATGCAGGAACTGCTGGGATTTAGTCCCCTGAAACCGCTGTGTCGAGTATGGGCTACTTTGCGCTCCAACTTCCGCTTTGTGGCCTGTCATCGATGCGGGGTGCATGTATTGCAAAGTGCTTTGCTGCAGCTGCCTCGATTGCTGGGGAGCCCTGCAGAGAGAGAGGAGGAGGACGTGGAAGAGGAGGAAGATGGCAAGGATGGTCCCTTGGAGACTCTGGAGGAGCTGGTTTTGGGACTAGCCTCCGAGGTGTGTGATGATTTTCTTTTCTACTGTGGAGACACACATGGCAGCTTCGTGGTCAGAACTCTGCTACAGGTGTTGGGAGGGACTCTTCTGGAGTCTGAGAGAGCCAGGCACCGTGGCTCTCAGTCACCTGGTAAGTATTACAAGAGGGAAGTGGACGTAGAGGAGAGGAGAGTTTAGGAAGTCCAGTAGAAGAGAGTAAGCGGAAGAGTAATTCTTGCTGACCTTAAAGAATTAGCAGAGAAATTAGGACAAGACTTAACAGGCCAAAGATTAGTGCACACAGAGGCCCAGACGTGAGGATGCATAGGTGTGTTTGGGGGACAGCTAGTAGAATAGGCCAGGGGTAAGAGGTGATTCATGAGGAATGGGTGTCAAATTTTTTTTAAACCACAACTCACAGATTTTTTTTTTTGTTTTAAACATCACTGAACATGCGTCTGTGTATGTATACATATATTGGACTCAAGCAGAACTTTGAGAAGTTAATATATATACAACCCATTCTGATATTTTCTTTTCTGTTCTATTCTATTGAAAAATTGCTGGTTAAGATCCACTAAAGTGATTTTATGATGCATTTGTAGGCAGCGACCTACAGTTTGAAAAACTCTGGGAAATAAGGTTAGAGAGTTTAGATGAGGCCTTGAAGTCCTGAGAGTTTGGCCTATCTTCTACGGACCACTGGGGAGCTGTTGAAATTTCTTAGAAAAATTAAAACAGAAACGTAGTCTCTGTTTAGTCATCCAGATGAGAAGAGGTATTCATATGTGTTCTGCATCTCCAAGCTGAATCCTTGCTCATCTATGGGATTATTCTCCCTCCTGGATGGTAGTTTGTGATCCCAGCACTGCACGTGTTCTTGGTCTTCTTTCAGAAGCACAAAGGGCCCCAGCTCGAGAAGGTAAGCCATCTGATTTTGAGGTCCCTGAAACCTTCTTGAATCGCCTTCAGGACCTGAGCTCCTGCTTTCTGAAGGACATTGCTGGTAAGGAGGGAAAAAGGAGGAGGGTCTAGGACCTGCTTTTCTGGAGGTGAACTGTCATCATCTGAGGCCCTTACTTCGATCAGTCTTATTCCTTTTCAAATCTGATCGGGTTTGATATTGCAAAGACTCTGTATAGAGCTTTTACGTCCAAAGTCCCTGATATCTTTTGCTTGAGGTTTGAGGTTGTACAGGTTGTCTGGATTTTGGAAGAGCTGCTTTTATTATTTCTGCCCTCTCCCTCAGTATTTATCACTGACAAGATCTCCAGCTTCTGCCTTCAAGTGGCCTTACAAATCTTACACCGCAAACTGCCCCAGTTTTGTGCTCAGCTCTGCAGTGCTGTGATTGGCTATCTGAGTAGCCGCAATTCCTCAGCAGATGGCAGGTATGGTCTAGGCCTCAGAGTCAACCAAAGTTGATGAGGCTGTGTGAAGTGAATGAAGTGATATGGATATTTTAGATGCAATAAAGGCTGCTTGATCACCTTCTCCTTGTCCCTAGCCCCCTACTGCTATTTCTGCGGGATCAGACGAGCTCCAGACTCCTGGAGCAAGTGCTGCTGGTGCTGGAGCCCCCGAGGCTCCAGAGCCTCTTTGAGGATCACTTCCAAGGGCAGCTGCAGACCCTGGCCGCACACCCCATTGCCAACTTCCCTTTGCAGCGTTTATTGGATGCTGTTACTACCCCTGAGCTGGTGAGTTGAGAGTGGGGCCGGATCTGTTTCTGTGCTCTGTTATTTCTGCTAGTTTTTGTTCATTGTGCCTTATTTTATTGTGTGCCTGCCTCTGCATCTCTGAGTGTGTGCTGGCCATTCCCCTTGAAGTTATTCCTGGGGGTTACTCAGAGCTTATGACGAAAGTGCCTTCTCAGAAAGGATTTGTTTTGGCTTCTCGGGTTCCAATACCAGCAGGCGACTGGCTTAATCCAAATATGCAGCTTGAGGTTCCATGACCCGTGTTTGTGGTCAACTATCTGTAGCAATACAGAGTTGGGAGTTGGGGTAGAAGGGTAGATTTTTTTTTTTTTTTTTAAGATTTTATTTTTAAGTAATCTCTACACCAAATGTGGGGCTTGCACTCACAACCCAAGATCAAGAGCTGTGTGCTCTGCTGACGGAGATAGCTAGGTGCCCCTAGAAGGGCAGATTTAATTCCAGTATCCCCTTATCTTGAGAGTGTGGCCATTTAAAGTATTGCTGCTTCCCTCATGTGAGGCAGCACCTCTAAGACTGCCCCTTGTCCTAGACTTCATCTGGCCAAACCCAAATCCTGATATTGGCCTTGCTTATCTAGCACTTCTAGTTGTTTTCAGCAGGAAGATTTCTCTGAATAACTCAGTCCACTGTTACAGAATGCCAAAGATTCCTCATTCTGTGCCTCCCCTCAGCTGTCCCCCGTGTTTGAGGAGCTGAGCCCTGCCCTGGAAGCTGTGCTGGCTCAAGGTCACCCCGGGGTGGTCATTGCCCTGGTGGGGGCCTGCCGCAGAGTTGGGGCCCACCAAGCCCGGGTCCTGCAGCTGTTGTTGGAGGTGAGTTGGTGTTGCCCTCAGTTCAAATAAACAGGTGTTGCCCTGTTTATGCCCTCAGTTCAAATTCCACCTGTTAGGACCTCTCTAATCTTCAGTGGTTGTATCTCTGGACTCAAGAGGCCTAATGTCCAAGGAGTTCACAGATCCAGGGAGAAATGAGGCCAAACCCATCTCATAGCCCTGGAATGAAAATTGTCTCCCAGAACTAAGAGAGCAGTTTATTTAAGGAATAAATGTTTATTCAACCCCTGTTATGTGTATAGGGGCTGGGGATACAGCAAGGCAGATGAGATCCTGCCCTTATTCAGCTTACATTCTCACATCTCCTGAATGCTTTCCTCTGTCTAGAGAGTCGGGGTTAGGGATGAGGTAGCTCTCCGATTCATCACGTTTTGTCTTCTCCTCTAGGCATTCCACTGTGCGGAGCCCCCTTCCCGGCAAGTGGCTTGTGTGCCTCTCTTTGCCACTTTGACGGCTTATGAGGTATACTATAGACTGGCAGAGGAGGAAGGGGCAGTGCCCGCAGAGCACCAGGTGAGGTAGGAGAGGGGCCAAGTCAGTGACTAATTGGGGCCAGGGTTTAAAAAGTCCTTCACCCTTGTGGTGAGGGTGTGGGGATCTCTGGCTTCATCCAGGTGGGGGTGGCACTTTGGTGGCTGCTTCCTAAATCCCTGTTTCTGTCCTACCAGGTGGAAATGGCCACGGCCAGGGCTCTGGGGGAAGTGACAGTCCTTGGGTCTCTTCTGCTTCAGCATCTGCTGCACTTCTCTAGCCCTGGTATCGTACTTCGAAGTCTGGGTGCCTTGACGGGACCACAACTTCTGACTCTTGCCCAGAACCCTGCTGGCTCCCACGTGCTTGATGCCGTCCTGACCAGCCCCTCCGTGACGCGCAAGCAGCGTCGCCGTGTGCTGAAGACCCTAAAGGTTCTGGTTTCTGCTTTGATTCCCCCACCAACATCCATTTAAGAGAACATGAGCTTGCCCTGAGACTGTCCTTCAGAATCAGAGAGGATATATCGTTCCCAGACTCTTTCGACTCAGCCCACAAACTTCTGAAACTTCACTTCCCCGTTGCCCTCCCCAGTGCACTTTTGTGGAATGCCCTAGGGGGACCTACCTTGCTTGTTTCACTGCAGGGACAATACGTGGCTCTGGCCTGTAGTCGTCATGGCAGCCGAGTGCTAGATGCCATCTGGAGTGGAGCAGCCTTGGGGGCCCGGAAGGAAATTGCTGCCGAGCTGGGTGAGTACCTGCACCTCTCTCTAACCTTTCCAAACTTCCCTCACTCCAGATGGCTGAGTGGCTGGGGAGGGGACTTAAATACAGCAGAGACTTCAGTTCAAAAGGGTGGTGTTGGCCATGGGTTCTTAGCAGTCTGCCCTCCTTTCCTCTGCTGATTATGCAGCCCTGTGCTCCCGCCCTCTCCTGGCTTCCGTTCTTTGGAGACTGAGGTATTATCCCTGAGGCCAACCCAGGGCCCAGGGAAAATGGAGGGACCTTCACCCAGGGAGTGTCGCTTTGAGCACGGGGGGTGACTGTATGATGATACTGAACATGAGTGATTCCCTTTGCAGGGGAGCGGAACCAGGAGCTGATAAGAGACCCTTTTGGCCACCATGTGGCTCGAAATGTGGCCCTGACTACTTTCCTGAAGCGCCGAGTGGCTTGGGAACAGCAGCAGGGGGCAGTGGCCAAGCGGAGGAGGGCTTTGAACTCAATACTTGAAGACTGAGGCCTTTGGACCTGGGACTGGGTGATGGGGAGGGTAGCGGGAGTATCTGTCCTGTCCCCTTCTTAGTTTAAGTTGGAATCAAAAGTCTTATTAATAAACATTTTTATATTTTTATTGGAAATGTTTTTGTTATTTTGGGGAAAAGGGTATAAAGAAATAGAGATCTCAAGGTAAAATCAGAAAGGGCTGAATTCAGTGCACTAGGAAGCTTAGGGACAGGAGGAGTTGCAAGGAATCTAGATGTAGCAATGATCAGGGTGGGGTCAAGATACCTGGGGACAGGCTTGTGGCCTTTCCAGGTAAGTGGGATGCTGGAAAGATGGCTAGGAAGGGACAGCATTCTTCAGGAAAGGGTATAGGCTAGGGGTGTAAGGCGTTATGCTGATGGGGCCTGTCACAATGGGGTCAGAAGGCATTGGGGAAATCAGGTGAGTTACCTAATCTGCACTGTCTTCAGATCTCCAAAGCTGATGCTGTCACAATCCTCACAGTGTGTCTCTTGGAATGAATCTAGGGGCAGAAAGCAGCTTGGAGCCCCTTCTCAGTAGGGATGAAGGCGACCCTGCCGCTGCCAATGCCATTGTTCGGCCCCTTCTATTAAATGGCGAAGGCTGGAGGAAATTCCCAGCAACATATGGCCCAGCCCTTGCAGCAGTGCAGAGGTCCAACGGAGGAGCTCCCTGAAGGGCAGAGACAAGATGAAGTCGGATGGGTGGGGGAACGTGGGAGGAGGCTATAGAGGGGGTTTTCCACAAGGGAGAGATTATGAATAGGGGAGTATAGAAGAAGGAATTAAGGGCGCTGCAACTGTAAGGGGATGAGGAAATACGATATGTTGGTCTCTGACCTGAGTACTTTCTTTGGGCCGAGTCCTTGAAAGTCACAACTCATGGAGTAGAGCCCATAGAATGTGGCTTTGATATTGAGGCTGCCAAAGAGGTCTCGAGGGTTTTGCTTGTATACATCAAAGGTGATACGGGCGATGTCCTTGCTGTGCTTGGGCTTCTCCCGGCCCAGGCCGTATGACAGCACCCCACTCTGTAGGGTACACTCATCAGTGCCACGCACCCTCACACCCTGACACCCACAGTGTGCACTGGGCACACAGTTCCCCACCAGCACTGGGTCAGACCCACCCTTGCCTGGACTCTTTGTCCCCTGTATGGTGTCCTTGGCAACCCCTTACCTCTCCCAGTGTCTCTGCCCCCAAGATCACGGTTGGGCTAGAGAAGCTTGGGAGAGATATAAAGGATTGGTGGCCTACAGCAAGCCCCACTATGGGCCTCTCACCCTGCTGGGGGTCCAGCTCTGCCCATACTCCAGCACCATCAGGCACGTGTCATCCTCCAAAAGCTGGAAGAAGTCCTCACTCTCCACGGCGGTCCCATCCTCCTCCAGCACCAGTGTTAGCATTCCACTCAGCAGCAGGGCCTCCAGTGCCTGCCCAGCCACAGGAAGCAGGAGGGAAGGGGCAGGGCTTATCCATGCCCCTCCCTCTCCAGCTGCCCCACATCCACTGGTTGGCTCTGGATGCTGGTTGACACCCCAACTCTACTTCCTGGGAAACTGCCATTCTTCAAATGGCTCCAGCTCTTGGTGCTTAGTTGCCGGGGGACCCTCGCTAAGGGCTGACTTTTTTTAACCTAGTTGCTCCTCTGTCATTGTCCTCTTTCCCTGTTACCCTCTGAGCCAATCCTAGTGGTTTGGAATTGAAAAACTAGTCAGGTTCTCTTGAGGTCCATCCTTCTGTCTTCTCTCCAGTGTCTTACCTCACTGTCCCCCACTCTCAGAGAACTGTTTTCAGTAACAATGACCCTTAGCCTTTTTGAGTCTTCACTAGTGCCAGGTATCTATGTAGACTTTACATACATGTCCTCTTTGACTCCTTTCCACAACCCTAGGAGAAAGGTGTAACATTATTCCCTTTTTGTAGATCAAGAAACTAAAGTTTTGATAGGTTGAACAACTTCCTACAGTGTGACACTAGCAAGTGGTAGAATCTGGACTTGAACTTGACTTGTCATATGAATCACCATTCCATACTGACTTCTGAATGCCATTCCCCCAACCCTCCCTAGCTATTCCTCCTCCTACCCCCTGGAAAAGAAATAACCTAAATACAGCATTGGTCATTGGGCTGAACCGTGCCGCACCCCCCCCTCCCCCACTTTAGCCCTCAGAGGGAGGAGCAGCCATGTAACCAACCTCAGCCTTTCTGCTCACTCACTGTAAGTTCTCACTCTTCTCTAGCCCCTGCAGTAGGAACTTAGGGATTTGGCTCACTTACCTTGTCTAGCAGTTCCTGGCGGGTGGCAGCTGTCAGACCTTTCCGGGTGGTTCGCTTGTGATCACAGACACGGAAAGGTCGCTGGGGTGGTGGAGCTGAAGTCCAGACTTTCCTGCCAAACTCAGAGCTCATACTGGATACTGACCTGGTAGTTGGGAAGAAAGGTCAAGAAGTGAGAAGTTCGGTGAATGCAGTAGGGATGATGGGGTGGGGTGCCTGGGGAGTTAGGGAGGGATCTAGGTTTGCAGATCAGAGTAGCCTAGGGAGAGACCATGGAGTGGGGGTGGTGAGTGGTGGTTCCATAGCTGGACAAGCCCGTTGTGGAAAGTGGGGGCAGGGAAGAGAAGGGGTGAGTATCAGAGTCTCCTGGGGGCCGAATGGAATTTTGTTGCCATGCCCTATCCTCAGAGTTGGAGGGTAGAAAGGAGGGTTAAAAATCACCTGAGCAGGCCGCTGGGGTTCAGGGCTGAGAGGTACTCCATGGTGGAGGGAAGGAGCAGGGGAGTTGCCTCTCCCACTGAGTTCTGGGCTGTGTGGTTCTCTGCTGTGCTGGGGCTGAAATGGTGGTGTTTTCAGCTACACAGCTGGGATCTCAGCTCCAGTGAGGTGGGAGATGAGTCAACCCGGACTCTGGTCCCCCCTGCCTGGCCAGTAAGAAGGGCAAAGTCCAAGGGGAGGGAGAGAAGGAGGGGCCTAGATGGGATAGTGGAGGAGAGATTAAGGCCCAGAGTTGCCCACAAAAGTCATGAGGCTTTTGTGCGTGCGTGCGTGCGTGTGTGTGTATGTGTGTGTGTGTCTGTCTGTCTGATGGCAGTGTGTGCTGAGGATAAATGGGAACTATGTAAGGATGGAATGTGGTCTCTGGTGTTTTTCTTTCTATGGAGAGAATTTCTAGGAATAGTTCCTGGCTCCCAACCCTAGAGAAGCTGCGTTATACATGATTTGCACTGTACTTGCTGCCACCTACTGTGAAAGCCATAAACTGCACCATTAGGAAAGGGGAAGCCAGGCTGCAGGTGGGATCATGGGCAGAGCTTGGAGGAAATGAAGGGTGAGACAGTGTGCCAGGGTGGCGTGTGAGGAGAGGATGGATCCTGTTCCCTGGATCCAGGATCGCCAGGATCCTGTCTGGGACCCTGGCCTTCCTGCTTTCCTGCTTCTTCCTCCGTCTAGGGGAGGGGCCGGCTCAACATTTCTCTGGCTTCAATCTCCAGAACTGCTCACTTCAGCTACACTGCATTAGTCACTTTCTCTCTCACCTTTCTCTTTTGGCCACTGAATCAGCGTGAAGGAGATGTGAAGGGGAAGGGGGTTGTCTTTTGATGGCATCAAGACTGGCTTTGGGTGCCCTGAGTCCCATCTCTGATTTCAGCTATAGTTGTGGATAGTTGTATGGCAGCTCAGACTCTCACTAAGACTGAACCCCTCACATGAGTGTAAATCTCTGCTTTCCTGCCTAGGTGTTTGAGGCTGCGGCAGCCCACTCAGCCTCCTGACACGTATAGGCTGCAAGTGTGTATAATGCCTCTAGGATAGCCCTCAAACAGTGAAGAAGGCAAGCTGGGCATCAGTGCCCCAGTCTTCTGTCTTTCTGGAAGGCATTCTGTGTAATTCTGAGAGCTTCCTAATCCTTACTGAAGAGACTCAATAACACACTTATTTGGCTCTCTCTTTCCCTCTCCTCCCCTGCTCCCTCACTTCTACTTCCTGAGCTGACTTCCCAGATGCAGAATTACCTGTACCCATGCTAATTCAGGCTGTGCTTTGGAAGTAACCCAAACTGAGACAATACTGGTGTCCTGGCTCCCAAGGAGTTCCCAGTTCTAGCTGGTAACTGGGCAGGGGTCTTTCCCCTTAGCTCAACTTAAGTGTACTAGGTCCCCCTCAAATTTCTTCATTTCCAGGCTTTGCCCAGAGAAGGCTTCTTTTCAGTATGTCTCTACCAATGCATCCTTTCCTACCTTCTTATCTCGTAGCTCCGTAGGATGGTCTCTTTGTGGTTGTGTGTTATGATTCCTCAAAGAGCTGATAAGTCCCTTGTACCTCCAATGCATCCCCCAGAACTCAGCACTGTGACTGAAAGCTGTCATTCGTAGCCCTTTGAGAGCCCTGGGAGTAGAAAGAATGGAGCAGGGCACAAGGTAAGAGATGAGAGTGATGTGGGTGCATAAGGCAAGCTAAAGGCAGAGCACAAACTAACAACTCCCCTGCCCCCAGGTGGGATATGTGTGATATTTCTCAGGCACTCCTAGCTGTGCAAGAACAAAGATAAGAACAGAAAACAATGGTTAAACTGATAGAGATCACAGGACCTGAGTCTCCATCAGTTTACAAATATCTTAGTAAATTACAAGAAAAGGGCAATCTCATCAATAGTCCAATCTCCAGGAGCTCCCTACTGTCTTAATGATAATACTTTGCTAGAGGGCAAAACAGCCTTAGCTTGGCAATAGCTAGGCCCCCAACAATCTGTAACTCCTCTTTAGCATATGGAAATCCCTTCAAGAAACTTCCTCTTGACTTTATCTCCTTCAGCTCCACAGTATATAAAGGATCACCCCCTCACCCTTATAAACTGCTCTTCCTGCCCACAGGTTCTGTCCCCATGCTTTAATAAAGTCACCTTTTTGTACCAAGGACATCTTCAAGAATTCTTTCTTGGCCGTCGGCTCTGGACATCACCCCCATAACCTCAAAACCTCATCAAGAGGAGTAGGTAGCAGGCTGAAGAAAAAGAGGGCTCAGCAGGGTCAGAAGTCAGGAAACAGGTCAAAATAGAGCAGTTGGGGGAACGAATAGTTTGGGTCACCTTCTCTGCTGAGTGTAGGCCAGGGAAGCCTCAGCACGTGGTGACAACTGTCCCAACAACTGGGGCCAGAACTGCCCGAGGGACGAGGGCAGATGCAGGACCCAGGATTTTGTAGTGTCCCTACTCACCTACACGATCAGGGAACCTTATCTGTATACCTGCAGATAGTCCTGTTTCCTAGGGAAGCAGCCTGTCACATGCCTGGACCTGTTAGTGATGGGAAAGGGTAGAGTGCGGGAGGAGCCCCAGGAAAGGCCTGAGAAGAACTCCACCTCGTCCCTCCCTATTCCTAGTCTCACACTGCAAATCTAACTGGCAGAGGACAGGAGTAGGCACCTCACTCACTGCTGCTGTGCCTTTCAGCTTCTCCAGCCCCCTCGTGGGCCTGATCCTACTAGCTCCCAGGTGGGTAAGTAGATCTGCGCATGCACCTTTACTTCCCACCACTCATTTTGCCCTAAGGTATAAGGAATGGGGCTGGACAGAGAAGCAGCCCAGCTAAAGGGGTAGAGGTGGAGGTAGTGGCAGCCTGGGAGTCAGGACTGGGGAGGTCGGCTGACTGACAGCAGGGGATTTGGGTTCCAAGAAGTAGTGATTGAGTAGGGGCCAGGGTAGGTCAGGAAGTCAGTCAAGGCTCTTAGAAGAGAGGAAAGTGGGAGGAAACGCAGTCCCTTCTCACCTGGCATGAGGGGTACCCCGGGCTTTTGCCCCACCCCCTAAATGCCCTCCATGGCCTTTTCCATCTCCCGGTAGGCACAGAATGCTGGCCTGTTACCGACCCCCGGGGAACGAGACGCTGCTGAGCTGGAAGGCCTCGCGGGTCACAGGCACGGCCTTCCTGCTGCTGGCGGCGCTGCTGGGACTGCCGGGCAATGGCTTCGTAGTGTGGAGCTTGGCGGGTTGGCGGCCCGCAAGGGGGCGACCGCTGGCGGCCACGCTGGTGCTGCACCTGGCGCTGGCCGACGGCGCGGTGCTGCTGCTCACGCCTCTCTTCGCGACCTTCCTGGCGGGGCAGGCGTGGCCGCTGGGCCAGGCGGGCTGCAAGGCGGTGTACTACGTGTGCGCGCTCAGCATGTACGCCAGCGTCCTGCTCACCAGCCTGCTCAGCCTGCAGCGCTGCCTCGCCGTCACCCGCCCTTTCCTGGCGCCCCGGCTGCGCAGTCCGGCCCTGGCCCGCCGCTTGCTGCTGGCCGTCTGGCTGGCCGCTCTGCTGCTCGCCGCCCCGGCCGCCGTCTACCGCCACCTGTGGGGAGACCGCGTGTGCCAGCTGTGCCACCCGTCGCCGGCCCACGCCGCGGCCCACCTGAGCCTGGAGACGCTGACCGCCTTCGTGCTTCCTTTCGGGCTGGTGCTCGGCTGCTACGGCTTGACGCTGGCGCGGCTGCGGGGCGCCCGCTGGGGCGCCGGGCGGCGCAGGACGCGGGTGGGCCGGCTGGTGAGCGCCATCGTGCTCGCCTTCGGCTTGCTCTGGGCGCCCTACCACGTGGTCAACATTCTGCAGGTGGTCGCCGCGCTGGCTCCGCCGGAAGGGGCCTTGGCCAGGCTGGGCGGGGCGGGCCAGGCAGCGAGAGCTGGAACTACAGCTTTGGCCTTCTTCAGCTCCAGCGTCAACCCGGTGCTCTACGTCTTCACCGCAGGGGATCTGCTGCCCCGGGCAGGTCCCCGCTTCCTTACAAGACTCTTTGAGGGCTCTGGAGAGGCCCGAGGCGGGGGCCGCTCTAGGGAGGGGACCATGGAGCTCCGAACTACCCCTCGGCTCAAAGTGGTGGGGCAGGGCCGGGGCGATGGAGACCCTGGGGGCGGGGTGGAGAAGGACAGTCAGGGATGGGACCCTTGACACCAAACCCTACCAACCCGGCCTGCTCTTCCCTATCCCCTTCCGTCGTCCCTCCCCCAGAACTCAGGGAACAACTGGAGCGTTTGGGGAGCCTTCTCTGGCCACAGTTTGGATCATTCTGGGCAGGCCCAGGTTCCTCCAAACTGAGGGATTGCAAGTGGTGGTGGTCCTTGTTAGTGAATATTGTGTGCCTGCAGGTAGGCATGGGCCTACATGCCAGAACTGCTTACTTGTTGCCAATAGCTACTGTGAAATACACTGAGGAGGGGGGCATTACATGATGGGTTAAGCATGCCCACACTGGTAGTTCATTATGCCTGAGTTGTACTGAAGCCACCTGGTTCTCTGCTGGGTCAGTCCAAGGCTGGGCACTGCCAGACTTCAGTGGCATCTTGACTTGTCCTCCCGAGTCTGGGTGGCCTGGTTCCCTCCAGCCAAGCCATAGACCGCTCCGGAAATAAAGGGAGAAAGAGGAAGGAAAGGTATGGGGGCTTGAATGAGAAAATGGGGATGGGAGCCACTTTCTGCAGTCTGAAAGAGTTGAGTGGAGAAAACGCCAGCTCTGGAAGGGGAAAGACAATGTGTGGGGTTAGAAAGGAAAGTTTTCCTGTCTTGTGGTTGGTGCAGCGTGGGGAGGGAGGCTGGGAGCCCTGTCTTCCTCTCTGAATCCAACTCTTCCCCCCGAAGGTCACCTGACTCAAAAAGGAGCCCAGGAGCAGGCACAGGCTCACCCAGGGGACATTTGGGGCTTGGGGTGAGGGGTACGGGGATTGTGTGGATGACTGGAGGACAGGAAGTTCTCAGGGAGGTGACATCTCTCCTTGGTCTCCTTTTTTCTCTGCCAAGTCTTGACTCCTCCCAAGACTGCTAGCTGTTGCTCACTGCCCCCCATGCCCCTTGGCCCCCATCTTTTGGAATCTCTCTATCGCTAGGTCCCCAAACTGTTCTGAATCCTGACGCTTTTGAGTTTGAGGATGTAGGATGGAGTTCAGAGGACGTCCACATGCACACACATGTGGTCGCTAGGGTGACTAACATCCCCGTTTGCCCAAGACTTTCCCAGTTTCACCACCAACAGTTTCTTGTCCCAATCCTCAGTCCCTGGCAAAACTAGATGGCTGGTGACCTGAGTGCTCACCCGGACCACCATCCCAGGTTCTGCTTTAGTGACTGTTCACATCACTCAGACAGAGGCCAAGAAAGAGTAAAGGAAATTCAGTCTGCAGGGTCACGCCAGGGGCACCCAAACTGGGGCAGGGTGGAGCTCTGCATCTGGGGGGCAGGAAGTATGCTTAGAGTATCTAGCCTGGGGTGGAGGAAGAAAGGCTGTTGAGAGACATGGAAGTGGGGAGCAGTTTGGGAGAGGAGGCGAAGACAACCCAGTTTCTGTCAGGAGGGGCCTCTGGTTGACCCCTGAGCTCTGGGCCAGAACTTGCATCCTCTGACACTGACAGCGGGAACTTCTTCCTGTTCTCATGTGTCAGGGCAGAAGCTCCCTAACTTCCTCCCTTCCATAGTCCCTGTCTTACAACCTCTGTGGTCAGAAAGCCCTTCCTCAACTCTGCCTTCCTGCTGTGGTTTCAGCCCATTTCTTTGCATCACATCCTCTGTCTCACAGCTACTGGGTCAGCTCTGCACTGACCCTTCTCAAAGCAGAGAGGGTAAAGGACCTCAGTGACCACCAAAGATGGACCAAAGTGCATCTTTCCTGGGAAGTGACAGAGTTGGAAAGGAAGCAGAAAGGCTCATGGTCAGATTGAAGGAAAGACTTTTCAGTTCTCAGTCCCTGCAGAAGAGGTCAAAGGGAGAGACTGCACTCCTTCCAGGAAGGGAGAAGAGTGACCATTCTTTTTTTTTATTAAAAATATATTTTTTAACGTTTATTCATTTTTGAGAGACAGAGAGAGACAGAGCATGAGCGGGGAAGGGGCAGAGAGAGAGGGAGACACGGAATCCGAAGCAGGCTCCAGGCTCCAAGCCGTCAGCACAGAGCCCGATGCGGGGCTCGAACCCACGAACTGCGAGATCATGACCTGAGCCGAAGTCGGACGCTCAACCAACTGAGCCACCCAGGCGCCCCGAAGAGTGACCATTCTTGGGGCTGTTCCTCCCTGTACATTCCTGGTTTCCCCTCCTGGCAGGGCAAGCATAACGCATCACTGCCCCTACTTCTTCTCCCTATGCTCAGCCTCCACTTTCTCTGTGTGTCTGAGGTGGGACTGGACAGCCAACTATGAGAAGGTAGGAAAGAGGTGATGCTGACCTCCTTGCCCAGCGCCCAGATCTTCAATCCAAATTCATGTGGCAGGGTAGCCACACGTCCAAGCACAAGGGAAGTGGTTGGGGAAGGGGAAGAAATTGGCATTCTGTGTAATACAAAGGAGGTCCTTTGGACTTTGGCTTCTGCCAAGAAGAAGAATTGAACCAATCTTTTTACATGAGGGAAGGGATGGGGGGGTTCTGGAAGAGCCCGACCCCCCAACTCTGCTCATGGCTTGAACCCAAGCCAAGGACAGACAGAGTGCTGTCCTCTTCAAGTCCTGATGTTACCTAAACCCAAAGCCATAACCTAGCCACATCTTCCTGGAGGACAGGAAGTTCCCAGGGAGGTGGCATCTCTCCTTTGTCTCTCTGCCAAGTCTTGATGCCTCCCAAGACTGTTAGTTGTTGCTCACTTCCTATTAATCTAAAAATTATTACATGATATTATTTACATGACATGTAAAGATATCCAACATTCTGGCCTCTCAATATGAGCCCATTTCCCTTCTCCAGCTTCCTTCCCTCCTTCTCCTGTATGACCCAGTGCAGTTCTCCAGTCTAGACCTGCATCTGAGGCCACACCCCAGCCTACTCACTCCCCTCACCCCTCTTTCCTCTCCCTGCACCTTCTTGGGCTCTTCTCATCTGGTCCCACCCCTGAGGAGTCCTCCTCCCTGCTAGGCTCTTCTGGAACACAAAGACCATCCCTCCCCCCTCCCCAGTGAAGGGAGGGCTAGGAGTTTCAGCCCCACCCTCAGGAAGATGTGTCTTCCCCCTCCTCTGCTTCTTGGTACTTCCTCTCTGGCCAACGTAGCTGACAGCACCCAGACCTGGGGCCAGGACCCTGGAACTGGGACAGATCTGGTAATAGGCTACGCCACTCTGCCCCGGCCTTGGGATTGGCACCAGCTTCCAACCAGTACGCGGCAAAGTCTGTAAGTAAGTACCTTGGGAGTAGGGAGGTAGTGGTGGGGCAGGTTACAGCCATGATCGAAAGGGCAAAGGAATTTCCAAAGAAAGCCTGGCTGGGGAGGATTTGTTCCTGTCTCCTATCCACAAACTCCTCCCCATTCCTGTTATTCCTGGTGGGCCCTGGGCACCTCTGGAGAGAGTGAGGTGATTGGTGGAAATCATTGGAACTGAGGGGGCTCGGGGCCTGGCAGGTGACTGAGAAGCTAGCCTTTTGAAGGGTGTGTCCTTGTTAAGGAAAGCATCCCCCCACCCCGCCCCTGCCATTTGGTTCTGGGTTTCAGAAGGGAAGGAGGCAGAAAGGGTCTGCTGTTGTTGCTCTGCATTTTGCAAATGGGTCTGTGGGCAGGAAGGAGCCCCGGGGCCTAGTTAGGAAATCAGTGTTTCTACTCAGCCAGATCCCCTTAAGACAGGTCTGTTGACAGTGGTGAGGACAGTATATTGCAGAGGTGCAACTGATGCTGCTGATTTGGAGCTGGCTACAGCCATCAGGCTAGGTGTGTCCAGGGTGTCGGGAAACCTTGGTTCCCCACCCTCATGCCTGTGTTCACCCTCACCTTCCAGGTCCTTGCAGTGGCCCCGGACGCTACATCTTCTGCAGCACCTCCTCACTAGGTGTCATGTTCATCGCTCTGCTGACGATCATCCTCCTGTCAGTGGCACTGGTTGTGGGGCTTCCAGGCAACAGCTTTGTGGTGTGGAGCATCCTGGTAAAGATGCAGAAGCGCTCTGTCACTGCCTTGTTGGTGCTGAACTTGGCCCTGGCCGACTTGGCTGTATTGCTTACTGCCCCCTTTTTCCTCCACAACGTGGCCCAACGCACCTGGGTGTTCGGACTGGCTGGTTGCCGCCTGTTTCACTATGTCTGCGGAGTCAGCATGTACGCCAGCGTCCTGCTGATCACGACCATGAGTCTGGACCGCTCGCTGGCGGTGGCCCTCCCCTTTGTGTCCCAGAAGGTTCGTACCAAGGCCGTTGCCTGGTGGGTGCTGGCAGGCATCTGGGTGATGTCCCTTCTGCTGGCCACGCCCGTCGTCGTGTACCGCACGGTGACCTTGGCACCGAACAACTGGAGCCTGGTGTGCTTCCTGAAGTACCCCAGCGAACGACTCAACGCCTTCCATCTACTCTTCGAGGCCCTCACCGGCTTCCTGCTGCCCTTCCTGGTGGTGGTGGCCAGCTACTCCGACATCGGCCGCAGGCTGCAGGCCCGGCGCTTCCGCCGCAGCCGCCGCACGGGCCGCCTGGTGGCGCTCATCATCCTGACCTTCGCCGCCTTCTGGCTGCCCTACCACGTGGTGAACTTGGCCGAGGCGGGACGGTTGCTGGCCGGCGGAGAGGCGGGGCCGTTGCGGAACCGGCTGCTCCTGGCGCGCTACGTGTTCATCGCGCTGGCCTTCCTGAGCAGTAGCGTGAACCCCGTGCTGTACGCGTGCGCCGGCGGTGGCCTGCTGCGCTCGGCCGGCGTGGGCTTCGTCGCCAAGCTGCTGGAGGCCACCGGCTCCGAGGCGTCCAGCACCCGCCGCGGGGGCACCCTGGCCCAGACGGTGAGGGGCGCCCCCGCCACTCCCGAGAATGGCACCACCGAGAACCTCACCGTCTCCAACCCTCTCCAGTGAAGCGAACTGAACTAGGTCTGGGTGGTGGTGGTGGTGGTGGTGCTGCCGCTGTTGGTGGAAGGTCGGCTTTCCTCCTGGCGGAATGCCCCCACGTTGGCCTGGCCCAGTGCTGTACCCCTAGGAGGAGAACGCCAGTGGGGTGGAGCAGAAGAGGAGGGAGGGGCGGGGCAGGTAAGGGCCCAGTGAAAGCCTGGGGCAGCTTTGCTATTAAAACTGAAGCCTCAAATTGGGTCAACCCTGTGTGTGGGGCGTGTGTGTATAATGGGGAATTAGGATTGCTGCTGGGCGCTCTTCTGGGGATCCTTCTCAACAGTTGAGAGGCACATCACATCCTGTGCTTTTCAGTTTTGGAAGGGACACAAAGATACAGAAACCAGAATCCCCTCTCCTCCCCCATTCTGAGGCAGGTGCCCTGCCCATCATACTTAGAGCACAGGTCTTACAGACTCCTGAAGGAGCAGATGGAAGAAGGCCACCCATGTGGGCTTATCATGCCAGACTCCCTGAATCAGCAGATGAGCTGAGAAAACAGCACAGCTCTGAGACCTTTACCCTGAAGCTTATGATAGGTATCGCTGTTACCATGACTCCAACTTCCTGCCACTCAGCTTTGTCCTTTCAGTGGGCAATGTTCTAGGGCACTGCCTTCCCTCCCCTCATCTCCCAAGGAGGCCTCACTTAAGAACCAAGTCATCAGATCTTAGCCCCTGGAATTCTGGACATTAACATTCTGCCAGCCCCTAAAATACACTCAGAAGCAGGTTGAGGCTGAGGGCCCTCTGTGCCAGTCATCATTCTTAGGAAATTAAGATTCCTGTAAGTGAGAGGGATGAGTCATTCTTTCCTAGGGATGACTGTTTGAGAGAGCCTTGGACTGGCTCTGTCCTGACAGCATTTTAGGAAGATGGTAGCAGAAATGGCAGCGGAGTACTTTTTGAATCTCTCCCATAAACAAAGACCAACTAGGAGAAAGACCAAAAATCCAAAATGTGCAGTATCTGTAACAAACCTAGGGTGTCAAGATACCTCCCACAGACTGCTAAAAATGTGTGGGGAATAAGCTTAGGAATTCCCTGAGCTTGCACCTATGGGTTAACAAAGTCACAGGAAGAAAGCATCCAAGATTAGGTAAACAGGGCAAAAGTGCCCCCAGTATAGAACAAAGGCATAGAGGAATAGGAAGCCACAGGATGAAAGCATCCAACATTAGGCAATCAGGGCGGAAGTGCCCCAAAATAGTGCAATAGCAGAAAGCTGTTTTCACAGGAGGGAAGGACCAGAATAGGTAAGCAAGTAAACAAGGTTATAGACCTCAGCAGGGAGAAGTTGCCTGGAGCGGAGCTAATTAGCAAAAGAAAGGAGCCTTGTTGACCCTGAGGTAGCCTGCTCTGTCTTATCCCCCAGGCAAGCTAAGATACACAGACACATTGCCTTGTGCCTGCCATAAACAACCATCTGCCCGGCTCTGGGATTTTGTTTTGTATTGACCCAAACCCTAACACTGCATATCCTCAAAAACCCCTTTTCTCTCACACATATGAATTAATGTTCACGGTTTCATTGTCTCTTTGTGCACGTCCATCACGTTTGTAAGCCTTCTGATCCTAATAAAAACGGAGCAAGGATCTTTACTTAGGGCTCTTGTCTCCTCCCCAACATTAGCCTCTCTCACATTTTAATTCTGCATCCTCTCTCTTGCTGAACAAGAGAGAACTCCAGACCCAGAGTCTACGACAAATAGGAGGTAGGCGTGAACCTTGGATGCTTCAAGATCTACATAGTATCAGCATCTGCACAGAAGGATGCAGAAGCAAGCAAGAGGGCATTTGAGGGATCTGTGAACAAGAGAATCCCAAAACCGTCTACAGGTCTTGGCTGGAAAGTATGCTCCAACTTGACAACAGCAGCTGAAACAGGGAGGGACCTGATAGATCGTCTCCTAAGCCTTTCATCCATGCTGTATAGTAAGCACATAATAGGTGCTTATTTAGTATATAGAGAATGAATAAAGGTCAAATGACATTCTCAGCTATTCCTTTCCAATATTTGTGGGTGGGGAGCAGGAAAAGACAAATCCCTATTTTGAGCCATGTGGCTAAATTTCTTTATGCTTCCAAGGTGTACAAAATACTGGAATCAGGCAGGGAGGCTGAGGCAGTCCTCTTCTTGAGCTTGTGAAAAAGAATCACTCCTCTCCAGCACACTCATGATCACCCTTGCATATACACAAACACTCACTTTAGCTTGGGAAGAAGCAAGTTTAGCTTGCTGAGAGGCAAGGAGAAGGTGATCTGCAGCTATACCAGAAGCTTCTGACACCAATTGGCTCCCATCATACCAGAGTCTTTTTATTGAGGATCTTAGGATGATGGGGGTCTCAGCCTAGGGTGGCCGAGGGAGGTCCAGTTCGTGCCAAATCTGTGTTCAGAAAGTAGGTGCAGAGCTGCCCTTTGCCTTTGACCTTGATGATACCCCGGCTGTAGCAGGTGTAGCCTAAGGACTGCAGCACCCGGGCCGTCTCTTCAGTCACCTGGGATTGAAAGGGTGTGAGTCAGAAGTGTGGGGGAGGCCCTATCCTTATCCCCCCACCCCATGCCTCCAATGCAGCCTCCTCACCTGGATCTTGCCCAGGACTCCTGTACTCTCCATGCGGCTGGCCACGTTCACTGTGTTGCCCCAGATGTCATACTGCGGCTTCTGGGCCCCGATCACTCCAGCCACTACAGGTCCGTGGTTCAACCCTGACAAGAGGTATGGTAGAGAGGAGCCCTGGGTGGGTGGATTTGAGGAGGGAGAGGGGAAGAGGACACTCCAGGAATTAGGGTGAAGGGCCTGGAGGCCTTAGAGGAAAGGGCCTGGAGGGGTGTGGCTTAGGGAAGGGGTGGCTGAGCCTCAGAGCTCCTGGCCCAGCAGCTTCATGCTCCATCCCCAGGGATGAGGCTGGAGGGGGTCCAGGGTGAGCTGGGGAGTAGCTAACAAAGAGCCTAAGGGAGCCAGAGCTTGGGAAGGTGAGGAGGAGGTTCCAGACTGCCCTAGCGAGGGAGGGTCCTCACCCACACGCAAGCGGAAGTTGTTGAAAGAGTGTTTATTGATGACGTCCAGCTTTGATCCAAGAGCCACCGCAAACTCCACCATGGTGCCAAGGTGGCTGCAGCTGCGCTCAGCGTCCTAGCAACAGGGCCGGCCCACCAGGATGGGTCAATGAGGATCCCCCAGTAAGAGCCCAGACGAAGGTTGGTAGGTAAAGAAGGGATTCTGTACCTGCTGTGCGTCCTGTCCGGAGGTGGCATTTAAGCCTGTAGCTGCCATGTAGGTGCTACCGATGGTTTTGATCTTCTCCACCCCGCTAAACTTGGGCTTTGAGAGCAGCTGTATAGAGAGGAAGCTGTGTCCCCAGTCTTTCTTGCTCTCTCCTGCCTCCCTCTCAGAGGCCCAGCCCCAGGCCTTTGGAGACTAAAGGACCAGGTTGTGAGGACAGGGATGGTGGCAGGAGGGAGAGTGGATAGTGAGCAGAATTTCCAGAGAGCTAGGGGATTGGAGGAGGAGTGGCAGGGCCGGGGAGAGGGGGATGGACCCCTGGCTGGAGACTAAATTGGCAGGAGGGACTGGTGGGAAATTCTAGCATCCAGGACAAAGGGTCCAGGGGAAGCTTGGAGTTGTCACCTCATCAAAATCAGCAATTATCTCATTGAGCAGCCGCAGACACTCTAGACCCTCGTGGTTTATGTTGGACTCAGAGTAAAACTCCTTGAAGTCTGGAACTGAGGCGAACAGGACACAGACACACTCATAGGACTGGTGGTAGAGGTCCTGGAGGGTGGGATGCTGGGTTGAGGGAGCAAGTCATGGTCTTCCCCCTTCTGAGCCTGCATGGACCCTCCTCCCTGTGTCCATACTCCTACCCCTCTATTTAAGAAGGATCGGAAAGGAGGGAGAGGGGTAGGGCCAGGTTACCCCAGGGATGTGTGACTCGGGAGTCAAAGATTGGGTCTCATTACGATTCCAGGAGAGACAGGGGTTTGGAGTCAGGATCACCTCATAGCCACGTGAAGGGAGTCTCTTCGAGAGCTGGGATCCTGTCAGCGGGAATCATCTTTCTATCATATCTCATTGCCGAAAGGTGTTAAGTCAACTAAGTCAGCTTACAAAGATAGCTACAACTTGGAAGATAAAGTAATAGGGAAAAGGGGCCAAAAGGAAAATAAAGGTAAGATAAGGTAAGAAAATAAAGGTAAGATTTGAAGTTGGTTCACAAAATGGGTGCCATAAAGTCCCTGTGAGTCCTAGATTCTGGCTCTGAGCTTTCTAGTAGCCAATGTGAAGCTAGAAACAGGAGCAGTGACAAGATTCCCAGTGTCTGTAAGAGAAGGAGGCAGGAGATGTAGACCTACTGCTGATCTTGAGAGCAGAGAGCAAGCGGTGGGGGCAGGAAGCTGTGAAGTAGCCCCTGGCCTGTTTCTTTTAACATTCCTCAAGATGGACCAAGAGCATTTCCACAGCAGACACGGTGAAGTAGTGGTGGCAAAAATAAAATGGTGGAACTATATGGGTGACCTTCTGATGGTCTATGGCAAGATGTTTAAGGATATAGATTAGCATCTTCCAATGGGAAACCCTGTGGTGATGGAAAGTTCTACATATGGGATGCCCAATACGGCATCTACTAGCCATAGGCAGCTGTTAGATCCTTGAAATGTGGCCAGTGAGACAGAGGAATTGAATTTTCCATTTTAATTCATTTAAATTTAAAGGGCCACACATGGCTAATGGCTACCATCCCGGATAGTGCAGGTCCAGAGAGATGGATGGACTGTGTCCTCCACACAACTCCCATCAACACTTGAAGAAGCTTCTGGAAGGCGTGGAGTGGTCATGAGTTGGAGAGGACGCTCCTTCTAAGTAAGAACTTGGAACACAGAGGCTCTGTGCTCAGCAGACAAAGACTAAGAGCTTATGAAAATGTCAGGCACCTATGTGACAGGGACAGAGACTTGGGTGACCACTTAACTACTGTGGGGGAGTCCAAAGAGGATGGGCCAAGGGCCAAGGTTTTCATCCAAAATTGGTCCCTGTGGCATCTGAGGCTGAGGAGTCAGGGGTGGGGAGTCACCTCGTTGCGCCGGTTCTGGCCAATGAACTGGGGGGCCACATGTGCAGGGAGCACATTCTCCAACAGCAGCCGAGTCAGGTTCTCCATGGTCTCTGTCTCCTCCTGCTCCTGCCGCAGCTTCTTCTTCCACAGGAAGTCCAGCCGGCAGTAATACTCATTCTGGCAGGGTCAGCAGGGGCCCAAGGGGAGACACAGTGCACGGGAAACCTCAGCTCCTGTGTGCTCCCCCTTCCCCCCATTCCTTGATGCTTAAACCACACCCCCTCCCCCCAGTCTAGAGAGAAGCCTCAAGGTGCAACTATCCCTGGGGAGGCTACCTTGAAAATAGATTCAAACTAGGGTAGACAGAATTGGCAGCAGATTCTTTCTTATAGGTGGGTTTTCCTAGGTTGGGGTGGGAGGGATGAGGGAGGGAGAATTTGAAGGCACCTCCCTTATGGGGGGAGGTAAAGGAGAAAGAAATGGAGCAGGAAGGTTCACTTAGAAGCTTCCAATGGGCACACTATTTCGGCTCAACCCTGAAGGCATAAGATTTGAGGGAAAGAGTGAGAGAGAGACCAAGTCACAAATATGGGGACCCCCGCCTCACCTTTCAAAGGGAGGCCTGGAGGGCTGAGATGGCTGACTTACCTGCCGAGCCAGGACCAGGAGGGTGAAGAAGAAGATGAAGAAGGAGATAGCTCCCATCAGTTTGGGCTCCTTCAGCACCCCTGGCCTGAGGAGGCCACGGATCAGGATTGCCCCTGCCCTGCACCTTCCCGATGGCCTCCTCCCTACCCTCAGTGCCCATGTAGCCCACAGCCACCCTCCCCCTTTGCCCTGTGGGTGGATGGTTCAGGTCAGGGAGGTAAGGACAGCTCTGCTCCGCTCCCAGGGGGCCTGAGCACCTCTGTCCAGTGGCCGTGCACACCTGGAGTCCGAGGGATCCGGATAGAGGCGGGCGATGAGGCAGTCGGACAGCCAGGCGTGGGAGTGCAGGAAGAGGGAGCAGGAGGCCCCCAGCCATAGCAGGAGCAGCAGCAACTTCAGCTCGAAGCTCATGTGCAAAAAGAGGGAGCAGGACAGGAACCCCAGCACGCAGCAGTGCATAGAGTACTGTGGGGCCAAGTAGGGTGGTCAAGAGGCGGGGCATATCCCACAGGTAGGGGTGGGAGAATATCCCAGGGCTCCTGGCCTGCCCCTCCCCGGGCCCACGACCTATCTGGGGAGTAGGCGGTGTCATACACACAAACACACACCGAGTGTAATTTACGTCTGTCCCAATCCACAGGATGGAACGTTCAACCAAGGAGGTGGGGGAGGGGCCAAGGAAGGCTCTGGAGAGAGAGTTTCAGGGCTGTGAGGAATACTCACGGGGACGCTGATGAGAGGCAGGGACCCAGGGAGCTCCCAAGAGATGTTGAAAGCCATGGAGGACACATTGAGAGCCCCAAAAGGGCAGTTTGATGCTGCCGGTAAGAAGAACTGCAGAAGGAAGTGAAGAGCTGAGGTGGGCAGGCAGCTCCCTGGGCACGATGGTGGCTTGTGCTGGGGTTCAGCTGACTTAGGGATGGGTCAGAGCCAGACCCCTCCAAAGAGGGGGATTATGGTATTCCTGGCTGGTGAGGGAGGCTTAGCGCAGGGGTCCTCGCTGGGGGGTCAGGGATGGGAGGAGCAGGTGTCCTGAGCACGAGTCTGCCATGGATCCACTGTGTGATCTCTTGCCAGCCTCTCTGGGCCTCAGCTTCCTCTTCTGTTACTTGGCTGGCGGTGATTCCTAAGGTGTCTTTCAGGGATAGAATTCTAGGAATGACTATAAATTCTGAAAACTGAGGGGCGCCTGGGTGGCTCAGTCAGTTAAGTGTCTGACTTCAGCTCAGGTAATGATCTCGCGGTTCGTGGGATCGAGTCCTGCGTCAGGCTCTGAGCTGTCAGCACAGCTCGGATTCTGCCTCCCTTTCTCGCTCTCTGCCCCTCCCCCACCCATACTCTGTCTCTCAAAAATAATAAACGTTCAAAATAATCAAAACAAAACAAATTCTGAAAACTCAGCCAAACTCAGCTACAAGATCATAATGAGCGAGCTAAACAGTGAAGATCTGCCTCCACAGAATAGATATGCTCAGGTGGCAGATTAATTTTTTTCTTTTATACTTGTCCAACATTGCCAGAATGTTGGCCTTACTCCGGCTGTCCTCCCAAATCCCAGGGGTCCCCTTTCAGCTTCTGACAGCTCGAACAGGCCCTGATCGGGTACATAGGGCCCCCCACTGCCCTCACCAGGCTGGGAATGGCCATCACAAAAACCAGGAGGATGGTAGCTGTGCCCAGGGCAACTCGCAGTCCGGGCCGTGTGGCCACCAAGCCAGACAGTGCCGGCAGCCAGTGCAGCATCTTGGGGCCTTTCAAGACACACCTCTGCAGAAGGAGCACAGGAATCTTAGCCGTGGGGCTGGGACACCCAGGTCACAGTGAGGGCCCAGCTCACCACTTCCACCCCCCAGCCCACCTCACCGTCAGGTGCTCTGAGAAGCAGACGAAGAGGAGGAGGAGGAAGAGGAGGAAGGTGATGCTATAGGTGATGGCCAGAGCTGGGGGCCTAAAGGGAAATAAGAGTGAGGCCTTGAAAGTCAGAATCGGCTCTGTGTGCTGGGAGGGTGCTGTGCCACCCAGTTGGGAGATGTGGGGAGGAGGAGTCCTGGGGATCTGAACTGGCTACCAGTGGGGACTGGGCTGATGAAAGGCATTGCCTGCTGAAGCTCTGGGAAAGTTGAGGGGTCTAGGGCAGTGGTGGGGTAGGGCAGGAACTATAAGGTGGGGACAATACTGGAAGGGGGCAGGAGGCTCACAAAGGGGTCAAGGCCACATCAGGCCAGTCTCTGGGCCTTCAGGCCAAAGCTCTTCTTCTACCTGGCTGAGTTCTGGACAAGTCCCTGCAGCCCCTCCTAGCCATGGACTAAAAACAAGGACCTACTTTCTAAGCTCATTTCCTGTGAGATTTGGGCTTCTCAATGAAAATAGAACCTGCTTCATTGAGAAGTTGTTTGAATTGAGAGACAGGCTTGTGAAAGTGCTTGGGTTATGTAGAAAGCCCACGAGATGTACGATAGTAAAATGAGGGCTATGATTATCACTGTTTCCCCAGAACACATGTTTCCTCTGTGGGTCAGTGTCCGAAACTAAGGGAAAGTCGGTAAAGAAGAAAATGTGGGTCAAGGATCAAAAAGTCTATACATGGGAATCAGGGCCCCTCTTGCCTGGGGCTCTCACCTGTTTGTCACCAGCATCTGGATGATGAAATTGGAAAGGAAAACCAGGAAGGTGCAGGCTGCATAGTATTTGAAGGCGGGGAGGGCAGAGAGTCGGTACTGGAAGGGAAGGGGGGGTCAGTGTGGAGACAGGGGCCACTAGGGCTGCCCATCATCTCGGAGGTGTCAATTCCAGGCAAGAACAGGTGTCTCAGCCTCCCCACCCACCCTCCAGTTCAGTCTCAGGTAGCCCCTACTGGTTCTCCAAGGAACTGCCCTCCTCCCTCCCATCCCCACCTAGAAAATCAATCTATAGGGTGACAGCCATTTGGAGAGAGGTACAAGCCCCTCAGCCCAGGATCACAAACTGAGCAGACCTTGGAGGTGAGGTGGGACCACAGGGCTTGCCCCCTTCCCAAGGCCAAGGCACTAAGGTTGGAAAATTCTCTAACCTTGTGTCACCCCCCACCCACCCCAGCCCACCTCTTTCTCCAGTTCCTTCTTTCTGAAGTACAGTGTCAGTGGGTTGAAGTCCTTTGACTGCCTCCACTGTCTGGTAGGAGGTGGGGGGCCATGAGCCCCGGAGAGGAAAGGGCAGGGCAGGGTGGGTGGAGGGGTGGTCAGGTGCATGTTTCCCTGGAGTAGAGTAGGGAAGCCCCCCCACTTCCCTCTGGGTCATTAGGGGAGCACATCCCTCCTGTACCACAGAAGCCCAGCTCCCAACCCCTCCCAGTCCTCTTCTGTTCTCCATACTTCTGAGAGTTGAGCTGTTCGATGACCTGGAAGAACTTGGCATCCCCAGTGTCCAGGTCATCATCTAGCCCCCGGGGGGTACGGCTCCTGCAGAGTGACAGCCCAGCCTGTCACCACAGGAGGCCCTCAACATATCTGGGTGAAGCAGGTACAGCCCCCCCACCCCCAGGAAGGATGGGGGCAGGTCACCCCAGGGACTCCTCACCGGTCCAGGCTCCACTGGGGGCTGAAGGAAGCCAGGGCCTTCTCCTGTTGGAAGAACACAGCAAAGAGGGGGATGAGGCGATGCTGAGCATCCCTGAAGCCTCTCTGCAGTGAGGGGTTCCATATCTACACATGTCCTTGGCCTTGAGCATTTGGCATGAGTGTTTTCCCTGCCTCTGATGACTTCCTCTCTCCATCAAATCCCATCTGCCCTTAAGGGAAGGATCAAACCACATTTATTCTTTAAATTTCTTGTGGACTTGGGGCGCCTGGGTGGCTCAGTCATTTAAGAGTCTGACTTCAGCTCAGGTCATGATCTCACAGTTCGTGGATTCGAGCCCCGCATCGGGCTCTGTGCGGTCAGTGTGGAGTCTGCTTTGGATTCTCCGTCCCCCTCTCTCTCTGCCCCTCCCTGCCTGCACTTCTCTCTGTCACTCTCAAAATAATAAATAAATAAACTTTAAAAAACAGTTTCTTCTGGACTCTTTAGACACCCAGGGTCTTTATAATTTTATTTCCTCAGTCTCTACCCCCTGTGAGGTAACCCTGTATTTTCTGTAAGCTTGAGTGGCTGTCATCTTCCCTAAGGACTGAACAAATCCCAAAAGTCCTTGGTTTAAACTGAAGTGACAGTGAGAAAGTTCTGACTCGCTTGTGGTCAGGCTGAGCTGGGAAGTGGTGGGGGCAGAAGACAAAAAGTCTAGAAGAAAGGTAAAGAGAAAGGAAGAGAGACAAACCTGGTCACAGTCATTCTTTCCTGCACCAAAACAAATGCGCACCATGAGCAAACATATGAAAATAAGCAGGCAAGTAAAGCAGGTGAGAAAAGCCCCAAAGAAGAGAATGAAGCCAACGGCCACTGCCCAGGGCCAGGAGTCTGTGACTGTTCTTTTCTGCTCCCCTGGCTCATGTGGAGGAAGCAGGGTCACAGGGGGCCACATCATCCCCCCAAATCAAAACCTGGTGTATGGGGGGGAGGGAGATTAAGGGGTGTGTTCTAGGTATGAGCCCATCTATGCAACCAGGACTGAGCCTAACGTTCTTCAAACTACCTACCTGCCTCTCCACCTTGCTCAATGACTGTTTTTTGAAAACAGGGAAAACAATTTATTCATTTCTGTCTTCTCTAGAACTAGCCTAGTGTCTGCCACATTGTAGGTGCTTTAAAAGTGTAGAAGGAACAGGGTGCCTGGGTGGCTCAGTCAGTTGAATGACCGACTTCAGCTCAGGTCATGATCTTGTGGTTCGTGGGTTCTACCCACGTGGGGGTGGATGGATGGATGGATGGATGGATGGATGGATGTTATATACTAGCACCAACACTGCCCCACCACCCCAAGGTTCCCCATTGTTTAAATGTAAGCTGATGTGATTCTCAGGATTTCTAACATTTGACTGAGGGCCTGGTACTTCACGGGCTTGGAAGTGAATTTCTGGGCTGGTGAGGTCCTGCCTTGGGAGCTACCCTCGAACCAGGAGTTCCTACTTCTTCACCCTGACACTTCTTAGCCTGCACACGAGTGGGGTTTCAGGGAGGTCTGGCATGGGTTCTAGGGGGCCTCTCACCATGGGGATTGCACTTGCACCTAACATTGTCTCACAATTCCTGGGCTCCCAGCAAAGCCCACCCTCTACTCTGCCTCCATGCTGGAGACTCTATCCTGCAATAGTCAGCAGAGTCTTGGATTCTTTCTTCTTCTCCCTCCTGTCCGCTTAACCCTTCTGACGTCTCCCCTACACCGTGTTAAGGAATGGAATTAGGTACTCTCCTAAACCACTGCTGCCAATGTCCCCCCCATACCACAGTGTTTCACGGATCTCTGGCCTGCTTTCCTGCTGGGTGGGTGGGGAGGGGAGATGGAACACAGAAAGGGTGCTCTGAAGTCATCCCGTATATCCAACTGGGTCTGGCAGAGAAGATTCAGAGAGAAAGATCTGCAGAAAGGTGGCTGGGAAAGTTTGGAGAAGATCAGATAAAATGGAGAAGAGCAGGCTGAGGACCCTAATCTTGGGGCAAGCCTTTGGGGACACAGCCTCAGTAACTGTATGCGTGGGTGTTCTGGCTGCTTGTCACCAAGCACCAACACGAAGAGCCAGCTGGTGGGAGAGATCCAGGCTCCTCCACCAGCTAGTGGGTCATGATTACCGGAAGGTGCTATGCACAAGGTCAGCCAACCAAGCCCTGGTTACCTCTCTTCCCTCCCTCCTCAATCCCTGCCTGCTCAGAGTGACTTCTTTCAAGACCACATGCGATTTTCACTGTCACCTCATTTAATCCTTGTATAAACGCTGAGAGTAGGGGCAACAACTGATTTGCCCCCACCTTCCCAATTCTAGTGGGGATTAAAAAAGAGAGTGTGCAGTTTCAGGAAGGGAATTCAACAGAGACATTTCCTGGTGGGACTGGGTGTGAGTGGTGGATTCAGAGCCAAGAGGAAGTATGGTCTATACCTTTGGGGTACTGAGGGAAGGCTTCCTGAGTGGAGTTTGGGGAACAGTGAACATGGTGCCTATAGGATTTTGCATCTCAAGTGAGCTCAGAGGGCAGTGACCTTTGCCCTTTCTCTGGAAAGAAGGGTAAGGAAAAGCCTGAACCAGTGACTGGGGCAACCAGACAGTTCAGGACCTTAGGATGTCATCAAGTGACTCAATGGATGGGTGGGGGGAGGTTGGGAGAGGCAGTGGGGTGGGGTTATGTAAGTGCTAGGGCTTGCAGTGGAGTGCACTTACCGGGAGAGGGGTAGAGGTGGACACAGGGCTCTCTAGGTGGCTCAGATGGGCAAAAGGCTTGGCGGCGCCCCAGGACTCCAGGTAGCGGGTCATCAGCAGCGACGGACGCATCTTGGGGCCCTCGAGAGAGGAGAGCAACCCTCCTGCAGTGCCCTTCTCATCCTCCTCCTCAGCCTGGGGCATAGGAGGGCTGAAAGTCAATTTCACAAATGCTTTCCACATTCTCCCCACACCTCTTGGAAGGTTGTGTCACCTCCCCCTTGACGCACACACTGGGACCCAGGAATTCAGTCTCTGGTGTAGGAAAAGAGATCAGGCCTGTTGGCTGTGGGTGGTTAGGATGGGCCAGCCCATGGGGTCCAGGCTGGGCTTTTACCCGGGGATCGATGACTAGGTAGGTAGGCTCCCCTAGCTCCCGAAGGTATGGGTCCCGGTGTTCCATGGCTGCATCCTCCACAGCATAAGCCCCTGCCAGCAGGGCCAGGGTAGCCCCTGTAATATGCACTCGTCTGGAAGGAGGGGGCAGTGGGAGTCAGGACGGAGGGCTTGCAAACCTCTCCTTTCTTTCAAGGAGCCTTCCTGGAGGTCTGACTTTAAGCAAGGCCCTGTGCTACCAGAGGTGTCTCCCGACCCCACTCCCTGCACGCCAGGATCTCCCTAAGCCCCACGTGGGATTGTGCTCATTTTAGGAAACTATGAACAGGATGACAGCATGTGGGAGGCCCGGTTGGTTTCCTCCTGTGGCCTCCTGCAGCCCCACATCTCACCCTGGCACGCCACCCGCCTCCATGTGGTTGGCCAGTGTGACATCATGGGACCAGACATCATACTGCCACTTCTGCAGCCCAATGACTCCGCAGAGCACACTGCCCGAATGCACGCCCACACGCATGTTGATGTCCACGCCAGTGGCTGCCCGGAGCTTCCTGAGCAGGATATGTAGGGGACAATCTGAATGCTGCCTTCATCCCTACCCATGCCACACCCCTCCCTCCCTCTAAGAGGACTTCCACTACCCTGTCTGCTCCTCCCCAATATCCATCCCTTGTTACCCCTCCTGCCCGTCCACCTGAGCTGACCTGATGGCCCGGCACATGTCCAGCCCCATGCGCACGCAGTTGATGGCGTGGTCTGGCAGGGAGAGCGGTAGCCCAGAGACACAGTAGTAACAGTCTCCCAGGATCTTGATCCGCATGCATTCATGCTCCTGGGAGTGTGTGTGTGTGTGCAGGGGAAGGGGGGCACCTGGTTAGAGGCCAGAGGTACGAGGGAGCTGGGAGGAGTGGGAACAAATGTGGTATTCCTGAAGAACCTATGAGGCCGGAAGTCTCTGGGTCAGATCTAGGGACTCTCTCAACTTGCTATGGGACTGGCTGAGGTCTGTGGCTCTCCCCCAGCTCTGGCATGTGGAGGGTGTATTCAGATTTAAGCATATGAAAGTAGCCTCAAGACAGAGGTTTTCTGGGTGACACCCAAGATTAGGTTTGTTGGGGGCATCCCTGGGGGTCTGAACAGGTGGCTGGACTGGGCTGAGGTTACACAGGGCAGACATTTCCCTTGGAAGGGCTCCCTAAGGTTAGAACATCTGAACATCCCCCTAGATTTGGCTGTGGTGTCCAGAGACACCTACGTCGGGGCTCTGAGCATATCTGGGGGTGTTGTGGTTGGGACATTTGTGGAGTTGTTGACAAGTCTCTTCCAGGTTTGAGGTGTGTGGTGAGCAGCTCCAGAGCTGGGGTTGTTTGAGAGGGTTTCCTACTTCCATTGGAATATCTTCCATTGGAATACATGGGCTCTGAAGTGGGACTGGGATCTGAGGAGGCAGGTGTTTCCCTTGGAAGGGGCTCTCCAGGGTGGGGCACTTGAAGATCCCTGGGTGGGGAGGGAGGCCCCCTCTGACCTTGGCGATCTGGTCGAACTTGCCAAAGAGCTCGTTGAGCATGAGCACCAACTCCTTAGGAGAGCACTCACTGGCCAGCCGGGTGAAGCCCACGATGTCAGCATACAGCACACTGGGCAGGGCAGACTGTGTCGGTGGGGCCAGGATCTCAGCCCACAGCCCCCTTCCCTGGGGCCATCCTTTCTCATACCTGACTCCCTGGTGCCTCTTGACATAGAGGCTGTGGAAGTTGTTGGTGCTTTCTGGCCGTGACCCCTGTCCAGCCTGCAGTCGTGCCATGATCTCTGCCTTCATCTCTCGGGCCAAGTAGGCAGGAAGGATGGACAAGAGAAGGTGTTCCTGGAGGAGGTCACAATGAACACCAACCCTCCTGCAACCTACAGCCAGAAGTCCCAGCCTCCCAACGAACTAGGAACCCAGCACTTCCCCAGTCCCACTAGGTGTTCCCCAAAGTACTCCCCCAAGATCCTTCCCATCACATAGAGCTGGGGCTCCAACATCCCACCCTGCACTAATCACCTTTGGGGACTGAACTCCCAGAACCAATGCCAGAATTAAGAGTTCTTTGTTTACTATCATAAAAGTGCTTTCATAGGCTTCAGTTTGTTTGAGACTTAACACAACTTTCCAAGGTGGGCGGTAGCCACATTTTACAAAGGAGGAAAGAGAAGGCTAAGTGATCTGCCGAAAGTCATTCGCCTTGCAAAGGGGCCCGGCTGAATGATACAAACAACCCCTTTTCACACCACAGTCTGGCCCAGCCTCCCAGGCCCAGCGAACCTGGTGCTTCTTCTCGGTGTCCAGCCGCCGGCGCGAGTGCAGGGAGCTAAGTGCCTCGCGGAACGTGGCGCGCAGCGCGCGCTCCATCAGCGTCTTGTGATACGCTCCCGCCACGTTCCCGCACAGGAACAACACCGCGTTCGCTGCCAGCTGTGGGTGAGGGTCAGCCTCAGAGGATGCTGGCCATGGGTGGCGGTGGGGGTGATTAAGTGCATACCTGGAGTTGGTCTCCAAGATGCTTGAGGAGGACTCCACAGTTAGAGACCCAAGAATTTCCAGGCAATCTGTGCTACACTGTGGGGTCCGTAGGGGGCGCTTCTCCTCCCCCAATACCCCTGCTCTAGACTTGGCTGTGCACCAACATGGCCTCTTAGGTCTAGAAATCGTTCACTTATGTTTCCTCTGCCTGGAATACTACTCCA